GACAGATGAGTCTTTTAATAGAAAAAAAATACACGTGCAACAGTAGCAACACACATTTCTTGAATCCAGACAGCTCCGAGTTTCAGTTCTTCACCTTAGGTGGTGGCCTGTGAGGAAATCAGAGGGGGTCCAGCTGTCAACATTTTCGGCTCCTCAGGCCCAGGGAGAGTTCTGGCTGCAAGTAAGGGAGAAGTCTAGTCCAGTACTTACCTGTACACACCTACAACCACAGCGTGGTCCCGTTCGTAGGGCTCAAGCGTCAGTTGCTCCTGGGGCTTCATATTCTCCTGCTGCATTTTCTTCACTTCAGATGCAAACACAGCTTCTGCCGAGGCTGTGGAGTCAATGCAGTTTGCCTACAGAGGAGAAAGGACAAGGTTAGAGATTTGGAGACCCAGGGTTTGGCAATTATAAAACTCCATTACAGAAATTTTAATTTGGCTTGGGCTGGAAACAGGATGTCCCACTTATCTAAGGAGTGTTTTAACTCAGGAACTTTCTTCCATGTCCTGGTAACAGTAGAACAAATTAGAGGCTAATTTTGAACATGGTGAAGATACCTGGGAGTTGTTGGTATTTCAAATAAAAATGTTTCTAAAAATGCATTGTATTTATTTTCTCTGTACCAGAAATCTGTTCTAAACACTTCATATATATCAATCTTTACTTCCAACCTTAAAGAGGACTGATTAATAAAAGAAACAGAGTCACCTAGACTAAGCAGTATGCTCAGACACAGAGATCAAGCACCCACCCACCACACTGCTGCTGCCTCAACTTACATTCCAAGCCCCATACCTTAATGGAAATCACAAAGTGTCCTCCATTCCTCAGGAAGGTGTGGGCATTCAGGGCCACAATCCGGGTTTGGTCTGGCTGTGCCACATCGGCAAAGATCACATCCACCATGGCTAAGGAAAAAGGGACAGCAGTTACCAAGTAGAAGCCACCAGAGAGCTACCCAGAGCCTCCCAATATTGGGCCTGTGCTCCATCACCACCAGGTTCCTGGGAGTCTCCTGCCTCCAGTCTTACTCCCCACCACACACCCTCCCTCCAAAGCACTCCAAAGGTGGGGCCAGAACCCAGACACATCACTCATCCACTCCTCTTGTAAAGCATGGTTGCCACCTACTCTGTGGCCAGCCCTGGGCTGGGCGTGGGGGACACAAAGACGAGTCAGACCCTGCCCTCGAGATGCTCCCGGGTCTGGGGGGGGAGACAGACATGTCATCAAAAAGACAAGTAAAGGTGAGCAGTTAAAGGCAAGACGTGGGCAGGGCTGTCAAATGAGGGCAAGGACCAGAGAAGGGGCCAAGTGAACTGAGAAAATGCAAAGAAAAAAAGGAGGGGGGGAAAAACTACTCCCCCCAAAACCAAATCAAACCAAAACAAAAAAGTGCAATGAAAAGGCAATGTTTTAGGCAGTATGATTTAAACATGAAGACATAAACCAAGCGATGGAATGAAAACATCTTTAAGGATTTGGAAAAGCAGATGGTTAAGTATCGAGTACCTCTGGGGGGATTCACGAGGCTTTCCATTTCTATACTAGACCTTTGAGGTGTTAAAAAGCCATTGGGTCATACTCGCTGTGTTCAGGACTGGAAGGTCATCAGGTAATATAAAGAAAGGCAGCCAGGGCAGTGTAAAAAGGCATCAAGTGTCAGAGGGGACTCAGGGAGGGAGATCAGAGACGACCGGCACAATCTCCACCCGCAGCTCCTCACTCTAACTCCATCTATATTTAGGCTCCATTGGCCTCTTCCAGGAAATATGCAGTGGCTTATCCTACCTTCCCTGGGCCGCCCCCAGGCCCCTCACCGATAAGCATGCGGTATTTGTGTGGGTGTCGGGCATCTTCAATCACAGGAATAATGTTGGTCCTCTTCTTGGCCAAGTTGATGAGGTCACGGCCAGAACGGTGGGAGAACTCAACTGCATAGACCAGACCATCCTAAAATAAATCAACAGTGATGAGCACACACTTGTTCTCCATTATAGTTGCCAAAATTTGGCTCATGCGCCACTTGTAGCAGGCCCTCAGACCCTCTATCGTTAAGTCCATGGTCCAGATGAGTAAATGGGCCTGGAGATGAGAGTCACCTGTCATGGTTATTCATAACCAACAAAGCTACAAGATCCTAATTTATCTGGCCCAAGAGCCCAGGCTCCCAACACAGGCTAAAGTCCAGGGCAGAGAAGAAAGCCAACGGCATTTGCAATGGGCCAGAACTCACAGGAAACATACAATTTTCAAAACAACCTTATTCTCCATAGTACTCACCCCTGGCTCAGAGAGCTCAGGTGTCTCACTGAAGTCACACACTATTAAATACCAATAGAAGTCTGAGTTTTGTTGCAGTTTGTATTTAGACAAGGTCTGACTATATAGCTTAGGCTAGGACTACAACAGTGTGTGCTTTCACACCTGGCCAAGCACAGGGCTTTCATCCACCAAATTAAAGAGTCCATAATTCAGCCAACAGCAAGAGGTAGGTGCTCTCTGCACCGCCACAGAAAACACATGCCCACCAGTAAAAACCAAGGGCTGCAGATGTAGGCATATCTGCCTAGCATTCAAGAGGCCCTGGGGTCAACCCCCAATATGGGGGGTTGGGGAGAGGAGAACAAACTAGGTTTGGGGGCCATGAATATTTTGTGTCTATGTCTGTAGAAGCCAGAGGACAATGTAGGTGTTATTCTTCAGGAACTCCACCCATCCTAGTTCTGAGACAAGGTCTTTCACTGGTGTAAAGCTTATCCATAGACAGCAGCCGATGACCAGCAAGCTCCATGGCCGCTGTTGCCCTTAGCACTGTTATTACAGGGGTACACACACCACCACACTGGGCTTTTACATGAATTCCGAGGATCAAAAGCAGGTTCTCATGCACGTATGATAAGCACTTTAATGACAAAGCTATCCTTCCAGTCCTGGGACATCAATTTCTCAAGAGAGCAACCAAAATAGTTTGGTATCTATGTTCCCAGCTCTGGGCCATTTTAACACAGTGTAGGTAAACAGCCAGGCTCGGCTCCCTCCATCTCCACCACCTATCCACTCACCGGGCCAACGATATCAGAGACGTGAGAGACAGTAGTGCCTGAGGCTGCCCCAAGGTAGAGCACCTTGGCCCCTGGCTTGATGTGGATCTGGTCTACGCCGCCCAGGATTGCTGCTGCCAGCTTGGAACGGAAGGGGTTCCAGGCTCGGTATTCAATTTTATCATCTCCCTCCTGACCCAGAAGAGATGGGAACAGAAGTCAGTGTTGGGTTCCTGTGCAGGATACCATCCTATAACCCTAGGGCCCTCAACAAAAAATGTTGCAGCCCAATCACTGTATAAGAACCAACGTAGACGTACAATAGGCACAAGGACAGAACACAGTAAACACAGAGGTGACAGAAAGACCTGGGCACTAGGCATTTACTTCCAGTCCTAGTTGTTTCAGGTGTTGGAGACACTTTGACTAGGACATGGATCCTGCCCTGAGCAGTAAGTACCCACTGAACTAACATACAAACTGGCTCAGGAGACGGTGACAGGCTAGAGAGACCAAACCAGGAGAGAGGATGGCAAACTAGAATGGACCAGGAAGGGCTGGGAACGTTTGAACTAGACCTAGAGGTGAGCAGGTAGGCCTCTGGCCGGCCATAGAGAAGAGGATGTGGGAGAACTATGGCTGGGGTTGTGAGGATATGACAGAGTCCTGTCAGGACCAGGAGGTACCTAACCAGTGACAGAAGATAGGGAGCTAGTGCAGCATGGAGCTGGGGAACAAGAGGGCTAGGCCAGGGAACTGGGAGGAGAGCTGGGAACTGAAGAACCGGAGGCTATGGCGGGCAGGGAATCTCAAGGAGCATGGAACAGAATGCATGGCCTAACTTCTGCACTAACACCCCCGCCCCTCACTGTCACATGTAGGACACAACAGCAAGACTGAACTGCAGGTGGCACCATTAGCTAGGGGTGGTACTTAGGACAAGGGTTTAAAACTCACTGAAATAGAGACTCTCTTCTCTCCATACACAGACTCTCCAGGGACCAGATTCTTTGTGACAAGGGCATCCTCCTTTCCGCGACAGATGAAGACTCCTTGTGAAGGTAGCAGAGAAAAGTGCGGCTGAGGACTCAGAATGCAGCCACGATTCACTTCTAGCTGCAGCGGCTGCCCTGCTCACCACACTCACCTTCATGCCGATGTGGTTCCACCATCACATTCTTCCCTGACTGGTTTCCTCTCTTGCCTCCCCGGCCACCACCTCGACCCCGGCCGCCCCCAGACTGGAAGCCTCCACCTGCAAGAGAAAGCTGCAGGTGGAGAGGGAGGTCCCTTCTCTCCCCTCCCTGCACCCTCCAGGAGCCTGCTCCACCTCCCCACGTCAACCTCACTCACCTCGTCCACCTCCTCCTCCACCTCCTCGTCCCCTGAAGCCTCCACCTCCACCTCGACCACGGCCTCCACCAAAGCCTCCTCGTCCTCCGCCAAAGCCCCCTCGTCCGCCTCGTCCTCCTCTACCGCCTCTGTCACCACCAAAGCCTCCTCTGCCACCAAAGCCACCCCCACGGGGGCTGAAACCTGTAGTAGAA